TTGCTTGCTCATAAATAACGCTTTCAAAAGATGACATTAAAATCCCTTACACTCAGAAAACACTTGACAATCATCTTCAGATCATGTGTCAGGACGCCCATTCTGATCCTCTACTCCAGACCCATCACCTTTTGACTGAGCTCTTCTTCCACAGAATTTCCATGACTGGAAAAGATGGGCTGGATTGTATGGACAGTTCTGCCCACTGAAAATAGCTAAAAAGGCCATGAAAATACAAAAACCATCTTAGAAGCATCAAAAAGGTGACAAGGTACTCATAGAGGACCACACCTCAAAAAGAAGGGAAAGATCCTGCTTGGCCTCTGCAGAGAACATGGTCCTGAGAAAAGGAGAAAAGTCTCCGTGAGTTCACTGCCCAGAGCCCGACGTGACCAGCTCTGCGTCCCCCAGACTTGACTTTTCCTACTCATCTGCATTCCCTTTAAAAAATTTAAACAAACCTTTAAATTCTGATTATGATGTACATGAAATGTATCATATATGATATAATCTATATTCAGTGTAAAACAAGTTATAATTGTTGAAAGTGATCAATGACAAAGTAAAAAGAACTGGAATCTTCACACCGGAGATATTTTGTTGTGTTTCCTTTTGTTTTTTATATATCCTCCTACTACTGCCCTAGTACTGGAACTTTCTCTAAGTTGATGAGCACGGACCTCAGTGGCCCCCACCCTGCACCCTCCAGATGCCATGTCCTGAGTCAGCTCACTCTCCCACCTCCTGAGAGGGCTGTCTCTTACTTCCTCCTCCCTCTGCAATCCTCTCCACTCCCTCCTAGCTCTCTAACCTTAATGGTGAACTTCTGTTTTCACTCAGAAAATGAAAGAGGACTCAGGTGAGAATTACATCATTATCCTCCCACACTCCCGCAATTACACTTGTATCCTCTTCCCACCAGTGATGATGGATGGTCCCTCCTGTGTAAGGCTGCCCCTCAGGGAGGGCACAGGATGCAGCTCCTCCCTCCCCTGTATCAGCAGTTTCCCACTCTCTGCTGCCTCCTTCATTCCTGCATACAAACACGCTATAATCCTCCCACCAAAAAGCAAAGAAAGAAAACTAAATAAATCAGAAGGAAATTCTCCCATAAAAATCCACGACTCAACGTCCAGGTTCCTCCCAACACCTGCCCCATGTCTATGACTCTCCTTACAGAACAGTTCCCAAGTCCATTCTTACACCTACTGAGTTATCTTTTCACTTTTAGCTAAAGGATATATGCACAGTTTTAAAAAGTAAAATACTTCTACAACACTTGATATCAAAGTAGATGTCCTCAATCTTCCATGTCCCTCCCAGATCTTGAACCTCACAGACGAGCTGGTCTAGCTGATTCTCTAATGGTTACTTCAGTGCCTCTAGACAGCATGCTCCCTATAATACTCCTTATTTGTTTCTCAGTTTTATGTATCACCTTTAGTTAATTAGTTCTTCTTTCATATACCCTATTCCCACAATGTAATTATAACTTATAATCATACATTTATTGATTGTGTCATTTTGACTACCTCAATCTGCAATATTTGCATTATGATGATGAAAGTGCCCATCCCAAGTGAGCATTTAGTAGACTATGGTTACTTTTATTTCATTGAATGAATTTTTTATTTTCTCTGGAATTAATTATCCTTTTGTTGTACTCATTTTCAACCATTCCCAAACTCTCCCCAGAATCTAGTCTTTGTGAACATCTTCGAGCACATCTGATATTCTGTCAACTTCCTCTCTTTGAACGGACCTGTCCCACAGTCCTCAGTCCTGCCTTGTGTGGACAGGGTCTCTGCACACGTTGGGCAGGGCTGACGCCCTGGATCCACTTTACCTCCTCCCAGACAGCCCTCTCCCTCCCTTGTTTGGCTCCCCTGGGGTCTGGATCCCATGTCTTCCCCATTGTTGATTTTCACCATCATTTTCCCCCACTTTGCCTAACAGCATCATGAGTAAGGGAACAAGGAAAGTGAAAACATAACTCTAAAGGGCCTTAGGCTACCCTAGGACGTACATCGTGACTAAATATACAACTCTCTGTTGGAAATACTTTTTTTTTTTCCTCAGACTTCGGAAGGCTTTGCTTCAGTGTCTTCTAGCCTCCAGGCCCCTGTTTGTTACCTTCTGAGGTTTTCAAGGTCTCTTCTTTTCCAACCTCTTTCTCAAATTTCAATTGATGTGCCTTGGTGTGGGTCTGTTTTCATCTAGTGCACTAAGAATTTGTGTAGGCCATTCAAGATATAAATTTTTGTCTATAAATTTTGAGACGTTTTCTTGAATTTTTTATTTCTTACTCTCCATTATTTTTGAAACTTGTTAGAATGTCATGACTGACAGGTGTATTTTTACAGGTCCTCTCTCCTTGCCATCACTTTTTCATCTACTTACTGGGAGCATGACTGTAATCTTCCAATTCATCTATGGAATTCTTCAGTTCTATGATCATATTTTCAAGAGCTCTTTTTCATTCTATGATTGAATATAATTCTATAGATTTCAGGTTTTGCTTCATATTCCATTTATCTCTTCTGTCTTTCAGATATTATTGATAACAGCGGCAGGGGACCTGTCAGGACTCCTGTTACCTGCTCTCATGGCATCATGAGCTCTTCTTCCTCACGGCACTTAGCACAGTCGTGCTGTGCATCTGTCTCGGTCATTTCTGTCCCTCTCCCGCACAGCAGAGCCTGTCTCCCATCACCAGGGGCCTAACTGTTGTTCCCCTCCAGTGTCTCCAGATCCTGATGCAAGGTGGCCTTGAAATAGACACCCCTTAAACTCTCTGAGTCTCCTTTCCCTGCCTGCACAAAGGGATCACACAGTGACCACCTCATGGGTTTGCTTTGAGGCATAAATTGACACTGTATGTAAATCACATGCAATTACTGCCTGAGACATAGTCAGTGTTCCTCTGTTCATAGTGGCCATCATGACAGTGATTGTAGCATTGAGATTGTTTCCACTTTTTGCTTCTATAAAGCACAATTCAAGATATATCCTTGAATATCTATT